AGAGAGAGAGAGAGAGAGAGAGAGATTTATGAACACGGATTTTATAAGATAAAGGTAGACGATAGGTTAAGCACAAAAAAATACAAATAATAAAATAAATAAATATTTACGATATTAAATATAATTAAAATAAGTTTGCTGTTAATGATAAGAGTACAAGTAATTTTGTTTTTATAAAACATAAATTTTTACCATTTAATAACTAATAAATTATTTTTTATAGAGAATTGGAGTAAAATATTGCGAAACAATTTTTAAAATATTTTCTTTTGTATACATATCTACTAAACATGTTAATAAATATTAACATTTTATACATACATATTGTACATTATAGTCATGTGGTAATATTTAGGTTAAATTAAATATGAACAATCAAATAAATTTTCTAAGTTGTGTATTTATATTAATTTTTGCACAAAATTACATATCTTGTGGTATACAACAACAACTAATAACAATAATTACTGATAAGTAAAATGTGATTTTAAATTATAACATATAGCAATTGTTGAGCCGACTGTCCGGTTAGGAAACTATACATTTAATGGCTATACATCCCTCATCTCAACACAAAGCCTTTATAACACACAAACAAATGGCACGATTCCTATCAATATATTTAAAGTAATTATTTATATTTTAAAAATCATAATCAACTTAATCATTATGAGACCCTAATATTTAGGGCATACCCTACGCCACACCACCATTGGGAGACTTAAGGTTTAGGCGCACAGTTCCCATATATTACAATGAATACAAAACAATAAGCGCCACACAATTTTCAAACATTTGCCTCCAATACGGAAATGCAAATGAAAACGAAGATTGTCTGTACCTAAACATATATACCTCAACATTGAATCCCAGTGCAAATATGCCCGTGATGATTTGGTTATACGGGGGAGGGTTTACCACTGGGGCCGGCAGTAACTATGACGGCCAACAGTTGGCCATAAGAGATGTTGTTGTGGTCACTCTTAACTACAGGTTAGGTGTGTTTGGTTTTATGTGCACCGATAGGCCGGACGCGCCCGGAAATGCCGGTCTCTGGGATCAGGCGATGGCAATGAATTGGACGCAACAATATATCACACATTTTGGCGGTAATCCCAATGATATTGTGATGTTTGGTCAGAGCTGTGGCAGTATGTCTATAAGCGCTCACATTTTGTCAAATGTATCCCAGGGTTATTTTAAAAAAGCAATTATGCAATGTGGTAAGATCAAATAAATTATTATGTTATTTATTAATATACTGCATTTTATAATAATTATTAAGTATTATAATTTTTAAATATTATACTATTAATTTCCTATTATCATTAAAAATTTGAGGCTTAACAAAATTTATAAATTTAAACTTAAATTCTTAAATATTTAAATATACAATTTATGATAAATTCATATTATATTTTTACAAATTACATCAGGTTCAATGTTGAGCAACAATTTTGGCACAAGGTCTGCTAACCTACAAATTGCAAAGTTTGTGACAAGTCTTACCGGTTGTAATATAAATGCTGATTATCAAAAATGTATCCGCAAACATAAGTTTGTCAAATTATTAAAACATTATGGTATACAACAACAAAATAATATTTTATATAATATGTAAAATATTAATAATATTATATTTTATATAACATATTATGTTATATTAATACTACCTTAATGCTTTACTAATGAAGTATAAATTTGCACTGACAGGCATACAAGTTGGCAAAAATTTGACGTCACGGCAAGTCGATGGCCTCATAGCCAAAAGGTTAGCCAGTTTTGTGGGCTGTAATATACACACGGATTACGTTCAATGTTTGCGGCAAATATCTGGCAAAGAATTAATTTTGGCTCAAAACAAGACATTGCTCTGGAATATAGGGATTGAAAAAACAATACAATTAGTTTCCGATATCTACCCCTTTTCTGTGTGTTATGGCGACGAGTTTTTGCCCCAAAGTCCAGTCCAGTTATTAAAACAGCGTAATTTCCGGCCCGACCTGCAGGTGCTTATGGGCCACGAGATTATGGACGGGGCCATTTTTACGCCCATTTTTAACTATGTTATCCCTACGGGCAGTCAATATGTGCCGTCCGTACCCTTTGCCTACATTAACAAACACATTGCTTACAGTAATTTACGGACATTATTTGCCAACACTCCGTACCCAAAAGTATTGGCCCAAAAATATACGCAAACATTTAGCAATTGGTATAATATTAGCCAAACTAATGATTTGCGGGCGACTGTAGTTCAGTCCATATCCGACTATCGGTACACCTGTTCGACGGTATTGTTTGGACAGCTTTTGAATAAATACTCAAATTTTGCGGTTAATGTACACCAATATTATCTCCAATACGCCAACAGTCAATCCCCCTGTTATAACAGCACGTGGTGTTATGGGGCTACACATTATGATGATTTGCCGTTGGTTTTTGGTCAACCCTATTATCAATCAAATTATACCGACACCGATAGATATATGAGCGCTCTTGTGATGAATATATGGACACAATTTGCTAAAACAGGGTATTTTATTTTGTTATTAATTTTAATTAGATTTATTGGAAATACATTTTTGGTTTTATTACTTTACTTTTTTAGTACTGTTCCGGCAGTAAACGGCAATCAATGGCTGCCATACACACCACTAACTGATGGAAACGTTAGCATAAATTATATGGTATTGACTTCTGATTGGAAAAAATTAGGAAAAGTATTTCTGAATAAATATATGGGAAATAATGGCTTTAATCCACCGGTTATTCAAAATTGCAAATATTTTTGGGATCAATTAATTATTAAAGGATTTGAATAAAAGTGTTTTTACTTATTTTTAATAGTTTTGTAAATTTAATATTGCAATTAACATAATTTATTCAAAAAATATTTTTAAATTGTATCAAAATGATGAATGTAAACTATTGCCAAGGTTATTATATAAAATCAAGCCATAAATTAAACATTACTGCTTTTAAATTATACTACAGTTTTTATAAATATACTCATAGATAGTTTTTACTTATTAATTTTTTAATGAATAAAATTTAATTAAAAATTGGTCATTATAATAAGCCACATTTTTAGTTATAAAACACACACATATATTAAATTATATTTTTCATATATAAAAACATATTGAACACATTTGTTCATTAAATCACTATTTATTTTGTTTAATAAAATGCTGTTTTACAATTTATTTGTTAAATTAACAAGGTATGTAATAGTTGATTAAATTTATTATTTAAAAACTTACTTTATTTAACAATTATAAACATTTCTACTAGTTTATTGGATCATCTAGTACCAGGCGACATTTATACAACACTAATAATTGGGCCAATAATTATATTAGCCTTTTTATATTACACAAAACTCCAGAAATACCCTCCTGGTCCTATTCCGTTGCCTTTGATTGGCAATATATTGTGTAAGTAATGTGCTACATCATTTTAAAATAACAACAAAATATATTTGACTATTATTTATAAAAATGTTT